GGGAGTCCTGTTCCAACAAGCTAGCTTGGTGCGCTAGCCGTCGGTGGAGGCTCTTTCGGGTGAAACGGGCACAATGCCCGCACGAGCCGGGGTTGTCGATAGCCTCCTGGGCGTGTTCCAGCCCGAGGCAGGACGAGCAGACCTGGTGTGAGTCTGTGCCTGCTATCTTCAACCCGCAGCCGCATGACCGAGCCTCCGAGTCCCTGACTCCTCTGGTGTGAGGGGGAGAGGCGTCCATCTTGTTCGCCTCGTGGCGTGGAGAGGACCCGCTCGTAACAGGTATGTCGTTGAGAGAAAAGTGTTACCAACCCGTCCTTAATCCGGAGAAAAAGGGACGGTGTGGGTCCTTTGTTCTCAAAGAATATTGACTGGTGTGTCAATATACTTCTAATCCTTTTCTCCTCCGTGAGAGAGAAAAATAAAAGCGTCCTCGCTACCGTGGTGTCGGTAGTAAGGGGAAGCTAGCTAGCAACAGGTGCGTAGCTAGCTTGAGAAAAATCAAAACCTTACCTTACTTTCCGGGGAAAGAAACGGCGAGGTCGATTTTAATACTAACTGGCGTTAGTATTACCGTCTTCTTGCGAAGCAGAAGGAGTAGCCGGCGAGCGCCCGTCGACCGAAATGGTTATATTTGGGTTCAGTCTGTGGACCGTTAAGCTTGTCCGGCTACTATAGAGATGTGCTCTGAAGCGAGAAGAAATGTTTGAATGACGCATGCGTCGTGGCGCAAGCTACTTATAGGGGGTGAATTCCCTGACGCTGACGTCAAGATCACCAGCCAATCAGGATTGGCGTAATGAGATTGATGCTTCTGTTTGCTCCGCGATGAGGCGCATCCCATAGTGAGACATCGAACGGAGTGTTATGAATGAGAACTCTTTTCCACATGCTTGCCCCAGACTCCTGTGTGATTAGTTATTGTAAAGTTCTCTCTGTGTGTGTTACCTACTGTATACACCTCTTCTGCAGTTTGTTGCCTTTGGAAAATGTCTGGAATCTGTTTTTTTTTCATAAAATTCCCGAAAATAAATACTATACTGTGGCATGCAGGGAGCCTTTACAGTGATGCCAAAAGTTAGGGCTGACTAATTAGACCATGTTGTCGGCCTAATTTACAGCTAATCTCCTATGATTGGAAATAGCGATTTGATGACAACAATTATCCAACTGTGCTCACCCAGGCAATTTTCACAACCTCACACTGCTTATGGGGATAGTACCCCCCAGTATAACCACCAATATTAAATTGCCAATAACATTTGTAACCATAATCACACCGTTGTGTCCTCATTCTCCAGCTCTTTACTTTGCTCGCTCACTTTAACCATCCTTCTGGTCTGAATAAAGAGCCACACATGTAAAACAGTTCAAATGGCAATCACTTGAGAACAACACATCATTTATCGTCAATTGTATAACTTACCTCATGGTACAAATGACATGTTTCTTTATAATAATTTCAAGTGTCTCACTGTGGCCACGAGGAGGATCTTTGCATTTCATGTTCCATAGTACATGAACAAAAAAGTGTTATTTATTATCCAGGATAAACCATTGTGATTTTAAGACATTGGCTGGATTGTGCTTTTTATAGAGCGTGTGCGCATCAAAATACTTTCATTTAATTAAATTATCAAGCAGGTATGTTAACACACCAGCAGTTTAATTTCTAATTAGGTGAGGTTGGAGGAGCCAGAAATACGTAATTTCAAATGAGGAAAACAAAGACAGCTAAGGCGGTCCCGGTATCTTTATGAGGTTAGTTATCATGATAGATAGAACGCAGTGTTTCCCCTACCATTGTCTTGGAGGGGTGCTGTGCCCCGCCAACGGAGCCCCGCACCCCCCCTGAAATTCAAGGTGTTTGTTTGTACTATTATTATTTTATATATATATATACTGTATATAGCACCAAACTGCAACTAATCTATATCTACTGTCACTTTTCACATTGTACATGTGCTCTTTTATTAAATAAACTAAACACTTTAATTTTAAGTTGTGAGTTTAGTGTTTTTCACCCTAAGAAACACTGATGCATTAATCAATAACAATAATCCACAGCTCCTCTCTCTGCTCCAGAGGATTTAAAACAAATATATCCCTATATGACCAGTAGTATAGTTTTGTTTTTTATTTATGGTTGCATTATATTTCCAACCAGTACACAGGGACACTTCATGACATGTTCAGTCAGTATGTGGCTGTAATGACAATATCAGGTGTTACAAAGATGTCCCGTGGTCAAATTCTAGTCAGCCAGATGCCATGCAGCTATCAGGCAATAGAAACAGTTGCAGTCTGCCAGTTATCTACTAACCTACATGGTAGCAGCGAGTGAGGGGGTGAGGGGGGGAGGCAGGGAGGATTTATTTTCCAATCACAGGGATACTGTGACTACTAGTCAACAGTGACAGTCAACCCTCATTAAATTGAAGCAGGATGATTGCGACGGCGTGAGATAACTTGCGGAAATGATACAGAGCAAGAACGTTATATACGAGTATGTTTGGGCAATACTGATATGTCTAAATACGTGGATTTAATGCTACTAAATGTAAACCTAAATGTTAGTTTTAAAATAAATGACACAGTTGAAAACAGGGATACACACTGCCCACATAGTAGGCTACATAATAATTGACAAATTAAAATTGTCTGCACTTAATCACTTGCATGTTTTTGTAGTTTGTGTAAAACAACCTACAAGCAACACTAGGACATGTCACCATGTCCTTTTTCATTTTTAGAATGATGAAAACATCATGCCCACGGGAAGTAAGAGTGCTGACATTGCTGCAACACTTCCGTACCTCGGTGGATGAGGCTATATTTGTAAGATAGTGTTGTTGTGTTCTACTTCACTATCACCTGCAATATATATGTTTAGTTTTTTGGAAAATAACTTAAAATGTCCATCAGTATCCATAAGTCTTAATTTATTTTGCGATTTCCTTTTAAACTTCCAAACTTAACAATGTATGTGCAGTATGGATGCACAAAACACATGGTACAAGTATTTTTGTGGAACCACTAGGGACGTGTCATATATTTGTTTTGACTATCTTACAAAGGGTAAACGAGACAGCAATGTTGTGGCAATTCAACAAAATAGTTAGTTGTCAAATGATTTCTGATATTTCTCCTGCCAGTTAAATGTCAAAACCACATGAGTGTGTCTGTCGTTGGACATTTTTTGTGTGTGAACAAGATTTACCCAAGCAGGTGTTTTCCTGTCACTTGTTGAAAGGTAAAACACACACTTTGACATTGCTTTTTGTTGTGGCCAGGATTGCAGTATGCTTGAAAGTTGCAGTGAACAGAGAGCACTCTGTGTGATTTACCCTTTGACATTTCACAGCCAATACTCCACCCTATTGTTAGAACATCAATAGTTTGTTTCAGGGAGGGTGTGTGAGTGTGTGTGTGTTATTGTTCAGGTGATATAATGGAGGGTAGAGGACAGCGACGGAAATAGAAATATATGTCAAAGAACACCTTTATTTGTACTGCAGAGTGGATCTGGTTGCCTTGAGGAGATACAACATACTTGAGGACAATTACTGATCAAATGATCTTGCTGCTGAAAAGGACAAATGAAAAATTAATAGAGAGAGACAAGGAGACTCCTGCTGACCGTAGTACTAATAAAGTAAAAATAGCGAATATACTGGTGACCGGATGAGTTAATGACTCAGATAGAATTACAACCATTACAGATCTCTCAGTTAATACATGTGCAGGGAATGATGGAAGTATATTCACACGTGTATGCGCACACTCAGCATCCAAAAACCGATAAGTGCCAACTCCATCTTTGGCATCTTCATGTGTGCTGACTTAGTTGTGTGTCTGGAGCGCTAATACATTATGCATTAGCCCTTAACATGCCCTTGACCAGGGTGACATACATTTCACATACATTACAGATGTAATCCATTCTAATGAGCTTAGACTTGATCTGGATGGGCCGAAACACACAGGGGAGTTACGGCACTCAAGGGAAGATAAAGATCATAAAGCTTTTGGAGGAATAGTTTTAATGTCAGCACAAATAGGGCCAACATTGTACAACCTGGATGTGTGCATACTGCAGTGGAGCCTGGTGATTATTTACCTGGACGGGTATGTGCACTGAGGACTTCACACACACGCTAATTATGATATTGCCTGGATTGTTGTACTATGCTTTGACTACAGCGATGGGAGTGTGTAACGTTCACTCAACACACTGTCACAATTACTAATAGCCTGAACATATACATGAAGTGCAGCCCTTGTGTGGGCCCTTAACTGGCAACTCAGCCAATCGCGTCTTCATCGTTTCAATTTGTTTCTGGGTGCCGACATCTGCTCCATTAACTCGTGTTGATTGGGTGTATTTGGTGTACCTTCCTGATTAAGGCCGCACATTATTACTAACATGTGTGAAGTGCATTTTTGTGTTACATCATGTTAAAAGAGGGTTAATAAATTAGGTTCTTAAAAAAAATCCCCATCATTCAACCAGCTAAAACTGCATTTCTATAACAAAATTAGAGTAATCATTGAGACATACTGTGAATAAACAATCTAATAACGTATACCATACTGTACAATTTCAATTGAAGTAATATACAAATACTTAAGAATGTAAAAGGTAAATAGAGATATGCTTGTGGCTGGTGGTAATAACTAAACACATCTGAATCCAACTATTAATGATGTTACTACTGTGCAAACAGCAGTCCCATCAGGCTCATCCAAGGACTTTTTCCGATATCTCAGACAATGAAATACATTTATGAAGGTTACCCTTAATCAAGAAGAGCTGGCTTCTTTTCTCCTCATTCTGGGGATTGGCACAATGCAATTATCAAAACAAAAAAGGTATTCAATGCCAGTATTTCCTTCATATCTCAACATAATGAATACGGCTTGAGCATAGCTTTGAAATACACTTCATATCAGTGAATATCATTTCAAGTGATTCAATGCCATGCATGTTTTAATGGACTCACCTGTGTCCTTATCACAAATCTGCTCGCACGGTTCGGTAGTCCTCTGGCCGCAGTAGTCAAGCACCCACTGTGTGGACGAATTGGTCTGATAGTAGAGAGTTAGCTTGGCTGGGTTTAGCCAATTAGAAACATCCAGGAAGCTGCCCATGCTTACCACAAAACTACTTCCTGAAAAAGAAAACACAACATGGAATTATTTAGCTTGTAAAAAACAATAAAATGGTTAAAACAGTCTCAATTGTTTGGCATTTTGAAAGGCTCTTTACCTGATTCTATTGCAAAATCAATTGGAGAGTGGTTTACTCTTTTGTTTTCACTGTAATTTCAATCCCCCTCCTGACCGGGCTGAATTTAAATGTGAAAATTAAGACCTATAATGTGTGTATTGATGTGATTTCCTTGGTAATTGCAGTAGAGGGGTAAAAGAGTTCCACGAGTCAATCAGTAAATGCTATGCTCATTGACGCTGCCTTACCTTTCTTTCTTACTGCTCCCCGACCAATCGTTAAACTCTGATCACTGAACAAGATTATCCCTAATTGATGCCAAAGACTTTTAGTTGCAAATAGAGCAGAAGAGATTGTGTTTCAGCCATCTACTGAACACAGAGATTCAGCTATATTATGCGAGCAACTGCAGAAGGTATGTGCATCAAGTAAACATTTCTGTGTCAAAGTAGAAATGTACTTAAAATAACAGAAAAGGACATGAAGATGGGATCCACAAATGTAATCTGAGTTATGAAGGGAACTCCTTTGAGGGTGGTCTCCTGGCTTTATTTTAAAGAGAGGATTAGTGCGGATGGAAAAGCTTAGACAGTAGCCGGTAATCAAATCTGAGTCACAGGAAAAGTCCAATGCCCTGCAGTGTTATACAGAGGAGAGATATCAAACAACCAATGCAGAAAAAGCAATGAAATCCCAAGGCTCATTTATGTATTTTTCTTAACATTTGAGTTGTTCCAAATTCCTGATAGAATACATAACCATTTGCCTCCTCCTACGCATTTGAAATCACCGGCTGCTTATTTTTGTTTGACATTCAACAGTCGCACAGGGACAGTCTGACCCAAAGAGCCTTCCAAAAATACAGCGATATTTGAGCGTTTTATTTTCTGACAACCTGGCAAACACGAATAGAGACATTCATCTAGACCACAAACACGCCTGTAGTGTTGCTTTTAAGTACATACAGTATTGCATTGTTTTAGCCGTTATTTAACTGCACAGTGGATTAAAGTAAGTTCAAGAGTGTCCGTCCGATTATTAAGTAAAAAAAGATTGATCAATGAAGATGTTTCAATACTTAAGAAACACACTGTAAGCTTTCTTTGTTCCTGATATGAAATACAACTTAGAAAATACTTCTTGTTTTTTTTAGATGTTATGCTGTAAAATATAGTTTTCTTGTTCCACACACTCACAGAAGTCATGATCTAAACTTGATCGGGAAATATTGTAAATATTGAATAATCACAGACCAAAACTCCCTTATAAACAATGGATTGTGTTGCTATTCTTTAAGTTTCCACTATCCACCATAATGCCAACAAGGTCAAAATACACACAACTCTTCTTAAATGGCATTTCTAAAAGCATGTTCCAGGACAGGCTGACCAAAGGTGAGCATAATAAGGCCTTTTCCTGCAATACAGCAGTTAGGGAACAGAATTGCCAGGAGCTCTCATTTGCTGAGGAGAGGAGAAATGTAACGGTCTCAGCTCTCGCAGTGAGGAGGCAATTGTTAGATCATGGGTTGGTTTATCTGGGACCTGTAAGGAAACCCCTCCTGAGCAGTTTGTTCGCTGATTGCCAACAATTTCACTGTGCATATTGTGAATGGAGTGAAGAAGACTGGGGGAATATTATTTTGTTAGATGAAACCCCTTGTTTTGATTGTTTTGGGAACACATTTGAAATAGAAAGCATCTCACACCTGTTTTATGCCAACGGAGATAATTAAAGAAACGGCACATCTGGCAGTTGGTTATCTATCCAACAAGTTGAAAATATTTACCACCAAAATAAGTCTTTTACACTGACTGTCATTATTTTTTTCTTATTTTGTGCTTTTGTTGTTGCTGGATTATTGTTTTTTATATTTGCGTTGCATGGCATGGCGTTTGAGTAACAGGATAGACACATAACTACATGACGAAGATTATTACTCTGACACTATTACTAATGTGTTACCCTTGACTACCTTGTTCTTGTCAGGGACTTTACATGAAATCAAACTGGCCCTGGCATTGTATCTATTTTGTGTGTATATCCCTGCTATCTGAGAACACACATTTTGAGCGGCATTTCCATCAATAACATTGGACACATGATACAGCTGCTGTTGTACAGTCCTGCCATTCTGAATTCACTCATCAACCTAAGTTCCGGTGAATAAAATACCTTTTATTATTATTTTGCTTCACATGCTGTTTTTAAGTTTCGCTAGTGGTTTACTAGAACACCTATAATCAAAATGACACTGTATCAACGATGACAAGAGAAGTTTCTTTACAGGAAAGTACGACAAAAAAACCTTGTTCTGCATACAGGAAGGTTTGCTGGCACATTTAGATAACATTTTAGCAACAATATACTCACTCTTCCTCGGCCTGCCGTCACTCATGATTTATCGTACCATAGCATTTTAGTTTATATGCCTGGCTATTGCTGTCCTGACCTAACTCATATTTATATGTGGCTTGCTAGTTTGGATTGCCTTGTTTGTGTGTTTGTCGGATTTGTGTGTTTGCTGTGTGTGCCTGACTGCTGCCAAGTGTATGCCTGGCAGAGTAATGGGTTAAGCTGCCTTTTATCACATCTGCTCTGTGTCAGGTTTCTGGTTTTCTGAGTCCAATTCCAGTATACACAAGTTTGCAGAGGAACAACAAAAGTAAAACACCCCTGCTTACTTAACTTAGGAAATGCTATATTGAAACACACAACATATAGATGGCGTTCTGTGTCTTAGCTTTAGTGTTTCTAAAATGTAAAGTGTATCCTGAAGGTGGCACTAAAATAAAGGCCATAGAGTAATTCAAATTTAAATAATGAAATTCCTGGTGATCATGAATATCATTAAACTCCTACCTTTCATTTTTTACATCTTACGTCAATGGTTAAGAACTGAGCATCTAGTCAGAAGTCACCTCAAAGAGCATCTGAATGTTCGAGAAAAGTTTTCTCCATGTCTCAAAATCCTCCCCAGTTAGATACGGTAAAGCAAAGGTGAGGAGGTCAGAAAACAAGCAATCAATAATAATTATACAGGAATTAAAAATATCCATAATACTTCTCACAGCAAACTGACTGACAGTTGAATACATAGCTTGCAATGGACAACACATCAATAGACAGTTGTTTTGACACTGAGGCTAATACTTGAGCAAAATTGATGCCTGTTAAATTGCCAAAATTGTTGCCAGGTTTCACAGAGAGTGTTTCAGTCTGCAGAGCTTTATGTCATGCTGTCAGAATTCAGCAGATAAAAGGATAACAAGTGGTCAAGGGGACTTGAAGTTACGGAGATATTAGACGAGAGTATACAGTAGCCTGCAGTAGGTGATGTCACACTGTCAGGTGTTATGACAGAAGGTGATCCTGACATATACCTGATAAAATACCCAGAGGGAGCTGAGTACAGAGTGAGAGAACATCACTGAAATGTACATTTGCCATTAAAAATCATGAAAACTCAAATAAATCTCAAATATGATGACGTCCCTGTGAACAGATTCCATTTTGACTTAAGCTTGTCTTCATTTAGTCCATTTAAATTGTTATGTTTATGCATGGGGTTTTAGGTTGTTGTGTTGTTCTTGTTTTCTGCTGTTTGCTCCTTTTCCCCCTCACTACTCTGTCTCTCCTCTGCAGGCTGGTGTGTGACAGGGGGCGTGGCTGGTATTCTCCTGGCTGCAGATGAGGCACACCTGTTCTCACTTCCCTAATCAACCCTCTCTTTAAGAGCCTGGCCCTCACATCACTTCTCTGCCAGATAATTAAATGCTGTTCGTCGATCCAGAGTGCCTCTCTGCAGCCCAAGCCGAATTTTTGTTTCTCTTTGCAGTTTTTGTGCAACTTTTTGAGTTCTCATTCATAACACTCCGTTCGATGTCTCACTATGGGATGCGCCTCATCGAGGAGCAAACAGAAGCATCAATCTCATTACGCCAATCCTGATTGGCTGGTGATCTTGACGTCAGCGTCAGGGAATTCACCCCCTATAAGTAGCTTGCGCCACGCGTCATTCAAACATTCAAAACATTCAAACACCTCTTCTCGCTTCAGAGCACATCTCTATAGTAGCCGGACAAGCTTAACGGTCCACAGACTGAACCCAAATATAACCATTTCGGTCGACGGGCGCTCGCTGGCTACTCCTTCTGCTTTGCAGGAAGACGGTAATACTAACGCCAGTTAGTATTGAAATCGACCTCGCCGTTCTCTTTCCCCGGAAAGTAAGGTAGGTCTGATTTTTTCAAGCTAGCAACACACCTGTTGCTAGCTCGCTCCCTCGCTATCGACACCACGGTAGCGAGGAAGCTTTTTCTTTTCTCTTCCCCACGGAGGAGGAAAGGATTAAAGGAGCATACTGTCACACCAGTCAGTATTCTCCGGGAATAAAAGACCCACACCGTCCTTTTCTCCGGATTAAGGACAGGGTGGTAACACCTTTTTTCTCCCAACTTACCTGTTGAGAGCGGGTCCTCTCCACGCCACGAGGCGAACAAGATGGACGCCTCTCTCCCTCACACCAGAGGAGTCAGGGACTCGGTGGCTCGACTCTGCGGCTGCAGGTTGAAGATCTCGAGCACAGACACACACCAGGTCTGCTCGTCCTGCCTCGGGCTGGAACATGCCCGAGGCGCTATCGACAACCCCGGCTCGTGCGGACATTGTGTCCGCTTCACCGTGAAGAGCCTCCGCCGACGGCTAGCACGCCAAGCTAGCCTGTCGGAACAGGACCCCCCCATGTCCACTGACCTGCCGGCCGGCAGTCAAGACGCGGGGGCGTCCGCCGCAGAGAGTGAACCCCTCTCCGTGTCGGTCTGGGGCTCATTATCTGCGATGGCTACAGAACCGGAATCCTGCGCCCTGGCTGGCCGGGACCCGGTGACGGCAAGACACGCGGGAACGGGACCCCACGCTTTACCGAGCTGGGGCTCCCGG